CAGGTCAGAAGACAGACAAGACCGGAACAGTGGAAGTTCTTCTACAGGTTCCTCAGCGAGTACCATGTTCCATGGAGCAGCAGATAAAGGCTTTCCTTATCTCTCTTTTTATTTTTTAAATGTAAACTGAAATGATGATAGTTATAGTGTGCGCACACACACACACACACACACATTTCAGATTGAGTTAGTCATAACGATAGTATTTATCAACATAGGAATTGCACTTCATTTCAATAATAGTTTTGTGGTACAATAATTATTGTTATATATGAATTATTTAAGGAGAGAACCTGTGAACATTTTAAATTGTAACTTATTTGCCATTTATGTTATTGAGGTATTTATTTGAAGCAATCTATTTATTATCATTATTGCAACTTGAAAAATGGGCGTGACACAATGGCGTCGATCTATATAGAAAACTGACCAGGCATATTTTGTTATTTAAAACCTTCTTAAGTGCAGATGTTTTATAAGTGACACAATTTTTTGATAATTTTACAAAAAAAAGGTTATTTTTTTTGGGTTGTTTTTATTTGTTGTTTTTTGCTCCCAATTGTTTTGGTTGAAACGCTGCATTCCAACACCCACTGCTGAGAGTAAGGAAGAAAAAAAAAACCTAAAGTGTGTATTTATTATTTATTTAATATAATAGAAATTGACTTGAAATGGTTGTTATATTTATTTTGTTATTTATGTGCGTTATGTGACGGTTTGAGTCTTGGTAGTCTTCAAAGATCCACACTGCAAATACTAAAATAAAGACACACCAAAATCCACACAAAACTGTTTGATTGTTTAGGCCTAACGTGGATAAACCAGCAGCTGATTGTAATAGAGAAAGAAACGGCAGTTATCATCTGATCCACAAGAGGATCGGGGTCACGTGGAAAGTTTTCTCTCAAAACTCTGAGAAAATAATTTGGGATATAGAAATCACACAGTAATGAGAAGCGAAAAAGACAAAATTCAATTTGAGATTTGATTTGAGAGTATGAACTTTAATGGGTATATATTTAAAATGAAACATTTCTTTGTGGCACTAATCCTCTTCCATACGTAGGAAAAATCCAAGAAATGATTTTTTTTTTTGGAAGTACAACAAATAAGTTCTTACCTCTACCAAGCGCTTTGTAGCGGCCAACACTGGCTCAACCCAAACCCCTGTAACTGGACCACAGGAGTTTTATAGTGGTGCTTATTTTTAAATTCTTCTTTTTAGTAGTGTTTTTTCATCCTTTTCTTCTGTACAATGGTTTATGTGAAGATCTTTATAGCAGCAGTGTTTTAGTCTGGATGTACAGATCTAAAACACACAGACACACGCGCACACACACATGCTGACATATCCAATACACTGTAGAATGGCCTCCTTTTTAGACCAACTTCTATCTGATAAAAAAAAACCACACACACACACCCTTGTAGCCTTACTCTAGATTTTAATTTTTGATGCACAAAGTGCCACTGATTTCAAAACAAAAAAATGTCAAAAAAAAAACAACAAAAAAAAAAATAGATGGAGAAGAGAAACTCACTTTCTTTCCTGATTCTACGCATTTCTGCAATGTAACAAATGTCGGCATCACGAGAGTGGTGATTGTTTCAGATGCCTTTATTTCTCTGCCGCGATGGCCATACGTACACTATATGATACATTCTGTATAAATAGATTTTAAAGATGCTATATATATGAATATGAACATACCTATATTTTTCCAGTGTAATTGTCGACTCGCTCTCTTTCTTCTTCTCTCGTATTACCTTTATGGAAGGATCACTGGCTGTCTAGAAAAGAGACGTGAGCTGCAACAGGAGGCAGTTACACCTTAATATTTAATATCACTACGACCTGCTCAACTGTGGCTTTAAACACACACCGTTCAGTCAAGCTGAAGGCAAAGCTGTCAATGATACAGTTACAATATTTGGTTTTCTTGTTTTGTTTTTTTTTTTCATTTATTTTCCCCCTGATCCGGAACTTTCAAATCCAACTCCTGCTGTATGTTGTTCTGCTCAGCAATGATTGTCTGTTTGACAGTAGATGGTTGGCTCTTTGTTCCTTAAGTGTCATGTGACTTCATGTATTTTAGAGGTAAAAAAAAATGGAAAAGTTGTCAATGCCTCTGCATAATGTTCTGCACTCAGTGTTCGGAGACAGTGTGCAGTTAATGTATTGTTAATATTTTCTTTTCTTCTTTTTTTTCTTTTAAAGGCCCAGCTCACTGTGAGCTCGTCCTTTTAAAAGTAGAAGACCTTTGAGTCTTCACCTTGGAGTGACCCATTGCAGCTACTGTGGTGTTTATGGTTACCACACCTGTGTGTAACGCTCATATCCAAGGCATTTTGTTTTTCAAGAAAATGTAGAATGAATCTCCTATGTGCACTTTCTAACCACTGAAAAGGCCAGCATTTGACTCTTCACCCAGGAGAACACACAGGCAATAGAAGGTCCCCCGCCTCATACACACACACACACACACACACAGAGCCACCCATGTACACTTCAGAGTGCAGCAGCAATGTGGTTTCCAGATTTGGACTTTTCAGGTTGTCAAGTTTACCTGACAACTGACCAGATATATGTCTGCTGAAGTTCATGATTAGCTTAAAGCTCCTTAAATGTGACCCACATGGACGTCTTGAAAGGTACAGCTTCTCTTGTTCTGGACACCAGACGTGGTCCACTAGGTTGACTTTGTGGGCCTGATCTGAAGAAAGCATGCTCTATCTTATTTGTTGCTATTATAAAAACCTCCCCACTAGTAAACTTGGTCATAACCAAAAGTGGCTATCTGGAATGTGGGCTTAATCTCAGCCAAACTTAAGCCAAAGATGATTTTGTTGTGGTCCATTTGCTGGGCCGTTTGCATAGGAGGGACAACTTTGACTGAAACGGGGGCCCAGATTCTATATACCAGATGTGGGCCATGGGAGGCCAGTAATAGCAGTGTGCATTGTTTGGCCCCTCATTTGGTCAGACCAGTTGTGGCTGGATGGGTTACAATTTGGATTTACCCGTTACTCGTTAATTCAGAAAACTTTTTTAAACTACACAGGGAATGTGATATTTCCAATTTAGACAAAAAAGAAACCCAGAGACAGACAGGAAGCAGAGTTTGGATCTCAGGTGACCGGTGTGGAGAAAAGGCAGAACAGAGCGATGCCATAGGTCAGCCAGTCAGCTGAGGCTAGAGGCGATAGCAGCAGCTGGATTCAGGCCACATGTGGAATGAGATGAGTGTCTGTGTGGGAGTGGGAAATTGATTCTCCGGGCTCCACAATCTCCCCCATGATTGTCGGAGGAGGTGTTTTTTTTTTCATAAATGTATGTCTATCTATCTATCAGTCAAAAGAATGTCGAAGCTTTTTACCACTTATAAAGTCCCCCCCCACCCCCCGTCCCCCTTGTGCAACCTTTCCTCAGGAAAGATAGTTTGGGTACAACGGTTTAGCAGAGGAGTGTTTCCTTCCTCTCCTGAAGTGCACGAGAATCCGAGTGACCCAGAGTTGTTAAGACTGTGAATATTCTCCTAACTTATCCGATATGGCATGACCCCTTTTAAACTGCTTGATGAAATTGTCTAGCGAGGTATGTAAATGAATAACTAAGGCCATGAACGCATAGCTTTTTCACGAAAAAAAATAGAGGAAAAAATGCAAGAAAAATGTCAGGCAACAAGCAAATGCAGCCCACGTGGGTTCTGCACCAACGCACTATACGTTTTCTTATTTACCACAGAAGTAACGAGCGATGGAATGAAGAGCTTGATTCTGAATGGCAAAGAAATAATAAGAGATAAAGGAAAGAAGGAAATAATAAACAAGGCTCAGAGTTCCCAGACGTGAAAATGAAGTTCATGTGAGGACGCTTTTTTCAGGGAAACCAGTCCAATCCAAAATCCAGCTGTGCATTTGGGGTGGGGTGTTGGTTGGTGTCAGCCAGTGGTATAGTTCTGTATCCGGGTCGGATGTGTTTCTGTAAAAACCTAGCCAGCATGTGGGCCACACTTCAATTTACTTGTGTGTAACTTGAGTTCAGAGCATAGAGTGTTTGGAAAAACTTTACGCTGCAAAGTGGAAACTGCAGACGTTGGTACGCACTAAGTGGGAATTGAAATGGTACCAGTTAGTCGTTCGTTATTACAGGTGGCACATTTTCATAGACAAGGGCAACGTGGTGTCAAAGTGTGTCTGGGTCAGAACTGGCCATGATGTATGGGCCATATATGTTTACCTCTTGTTTCAAATATATGAAATGTTCATGTGACCTTTACAGACACCAAGGTCATGATACAGTACTACAACTCTTGGCCCATGGATTTGGTGTGGGCTACAATTAGATACCACTTGCCCTTTTTACATATGTGGGCATTAAAGGTGGAACCTTCGGCCTACAGGAGCCTACATACAGATGCTGTCTGAGCAGTGGATTACACAGAGTATCACTTTTCATCAAACTGAGAGCAAACCAAAATCCTCCTCCCGTCCCTCTTCTCACCTCCGCCCCCC